TATTCTCCAAAGCAAGTCACTACTTTTGCATTACAAAGGAAACTCTTGCTTGCAAGTTTTGTTTTGTTTCAAAGAGTGTGCGTTGTGTAAGATTCCTTGTAAATGACATTAAATTGGCACTTCATGTCTGGATGACAACCTGGTGAAATTAAAATGTAAACAAACTTACAGAAAAATACGTAAGCAACTGAAGTCCTGCTGACATCATGTCATACTTCCTGTTTACATTTGCTGGTGAACTGCTGGCTGCGCCCTCTGCTGAAAGCCCTCAACCGGCCTCCACTGTCTTTGCATACACAAGGCAGCCTGGCTTTCTGTGGGATCACTGAAGCAGCCAGCAGAGGGAGCAATGTCACAATAAAAACGTCAAAATGAGTCAGATGACAGGAGGAGGAGGAGGAGGAGGGAAATCAAGTATGTAAAGGTAACGTGTGCAAAACAAGTGCTGTAGTTCTGGTTACCATATCAAGGCCTAAAAGACTCCAACTTACTTATTCTGGATTAAAAGCTTGTGCATATACGTGTGTAAGGACATCTGACACAGCAGTCCTACCTACCTCTCCTGAAACCTGTACCAGCAAGCTACAGTAACATAAGACAAAGGTATGCACTGTTTTTCTCTGTTTACAGGTACTTTAGAATCAGAGCTGGCATGTTATAGTAAATTTTAAAAGAATAACATAATACAGTCCTACTGTCATGTAAGAATGCCAAAAAAAGAAACAAAACCTAAGTAAGCCCTTGTGTTATAACAAAAAGTAGAACACGTGTTAAACTGCAGGTAGTTTAACATAAATGACCGCGCCTTCCTGCAATATCAAATATTTCTGTGGCCAAATGATAGCTGTGTGCTGGAGTGATCTGACATGACAGCATACAGCCCTGAATGGTGGGTACCATGACCTATTATTAGCCCCTGACACCGCCTTCTCAGCTGAGTCTGGTCTAGGAAAAATATTCATTACGTAACAATAAAGAATCTGTCTCCCAGACCCACTTCCCAAATACCACAGCAACAGCTAGGCCTCACTCTGAGGCACAGAGACATCAGCCACATCCATTTGATTACTGACGTGGTGTAGGGCTATGTGGGTTTTTTCATGCTTATCCATTTACTGCACACATTCACAACACCACCCCTCCTTCTCAGTTCCTCTTTGTGGGTCAGTGATGCAGCGGGAGTGACGCAGCAGTAGCAGCAGCCTCCAGAAGGCAACTTCGCACAGCAGGAACCGGGAACCTCTGCCAGAGCCATAGTCCACAGACGGCAGTGACGAAGGGAAAGTGGTAATGACCTGATCCGGGCTAGAGGAAGAATGGGAGCTGGGTAGTCGCTCTCCTCCTTCTAAACAAACACCAGAGAGGCTTCCACAGCGAAGGGACAGGCCCGGCAAGACCTTCCACACAAACGTTTTGGTAGGCATCTCAAAGTACGAGTGCTTGTTGCAGCAGCAACATAAGTTGTCCAAGGGATGAATGTCTTTGTATGCTAAAGAGTGTGAATGCTTTGAGAATGAGAATGAGGCCTACTCAGCCTTCTGCTGCAGTCTTTTCCTCTCAGCCTTTTCCCCGAAGAGCGTCCCTGCAGGCCGCAGCTGAGCTCACTGAGCATCAGAGGCGAAGAGGCCTGTTAACTTTGTCCTATGGTTTTAAACACATCCTAGCTGTAATGTCAGGGTTATTTTTACAAAATACCAATATGAGCACAGAACTTCCAGTTAGGACAGTTATTTTCTTTCTTATCATTTGCAGGCCTCTTTAAGCTTTAGCTTGAGACCTAACCTCATAAATCCCAAAGCAATTGTGCCAAGCAATAAATAAAATAAAAAAAACCCTAATAAGGGTATCTAGGCTGTTCATACAGATGAGTTATTATTTAGGTTAAAACAATAAGAAGACCACAAAATGGGCTTTTTCTCATAAATAAGAAATGATTCGTTTTTCCGGCATCAGAATCTGCTGTCAGGTTTTACGGAGGAGAAAACCTGAAATTAGACACAAACTACTAATATATACTGAAACCAGGGTTTTAATTTGATGTCTAATATCTCTTTGCTGTGAATTCGAGAACCACACAGGCGCTAACTAAAACAACAGGTGGCTGCTATGATTGGACAGAGATGTCATACCAGGAAGGAAAATATAAATACATATATGTATATATGTCTTGACAGTTCAAGGCAATCGTGATCAAAAATGATCTGTTTGATGTACCGCCCACTTTGTGACATGCAAATCTCGATAAGCTTATTTAAAAAAGCTTATAAACTTGTCTGACCAGTAAGAAATTGATGCTGTTCTTCCTCTTTTCAATATCTTGCAGTCTATAAATATTAATTAAATGCAGCTTACTGAAAAAGAGCTCTTAATGGTTTCTGCACACAGTGGAATCACACGTGTCTATTGAAAAAGATGGTGGCAAACAATAACCTAAATGGTCTACATGGATTAGGTTTGATGTTTTATAAAGCAATAAATGTCTAGCCATTCTAATCTCCATCTTTTTATCATCAAGTTATTTCTTACTCTCAGTATGGGGACTTACCGATACACTACAGTGATGCAAAAAATGCCTTCATGGTAGCGATGATTACTCCAGTTTTAGCACGTTATGGGCCGGATTAAACGCTCCTAGCTTTCTTAGTCCAGAAGAAGGCTTAAGTAGTGGTGAGAGTCTAAAAACAAATGTATTAAACCACCTTCCCTTCCAGAAATGATGCCAAATGAAAGTGAAATCATTTTTACCGCTTTTTCATTACACTCTGGTGCTTTCCAAGAGCAGCCTCCGCAAACCGTTAACTTTATTTCATTTTCATTTTTTGTACACGTGTTTTTGTGACCACCTTATTCTGTTTAAAGGTTACTTTGACATGTAGTAGTTTTACTGTACGGTGTAAGGCACAGACAATCAAAGCAAAACAAGGTTACTGTGTAGACTTATTTAAATGCAGATTTAAATGCATCCATGCACACAAATTAACTTCTTCCCACCAAAGCAGGGTTCTCTCATTCACATGCGTGAGAGCGAGTAGATAAGAACTTCTCACAGATATTTTGACGCTGCATGATGAAGGTCAAACGAACCTGTAGGCTGACTCTGCTGAGAGTCAGACCAGAGAATACAAAGTAAACTTTACAGTAACACACGCTGTAATTATGGCGTTTTCACCACAAAGCATTGTTCAAAAGCCTTAAAGGATCAGTCTGATCCAAGCATGAACTAAAGTGTCCAACCAATACCACTATCATTTAGGGTTTTTTTTTTTCCTTTTGGTGTCAGGCAGTTTGTGTCTTCATATACATAAACTTTACTTTCTTTGCTTTACAAAGGTTAAAAGAAAACATCATCATTCCGCTGTCACTCTCAAACTGACTGCTTTTCTAATTTTTACTCTGAATCAAACAACTAATCCACGTTTTAATGTTTGCTGCTACAGTAAAAATATGTTTAATCTGTCTTTTTGTTGCTTTACACTGTAAGTTCACACAAGCAGATATGTAGATGATGATATTTGAAAAGAAAACTGAACAGCGATGAGCGGAGGGTTGCGTGCCACGCCACCCAGAAATGGTGGCTATTGTGTGCATTCATCAAACCAAATTAATGTCATACAGCAAACACAAAAAAGGGGGCAGCAGTCACGGCTGTTAAGATTTTAAAGTTCGGTCTTTTAAGTGTGGAAAGCACAAACACTTAATGAAGAAAACATTCCCCCCTTCAGGGCGATGAGTAAGTGCATGCATGGTGATACAGCACCTGCCTCATTTCTGTCTTTTGAACTAAATAGTGCCATAAAAATGAAAGCTTTGATGCTTGCTGTTTGTTAAAGTGGATCTCAGTCAGGATGAGGAGGGCACAGTCATATGACTCCACTCTCAGCCACGTAAATAAAACAGTGCTTCCGTCCTTAGAGGCTAGTGAGAAGCTCACAGAGCCATGTCGTGTTTAGCTTCCTCCCCTCCCCCTCCTCGTCTGCATTGCTGACGCATCTGCTGCCGGTGCATCAATCAGCAGCTTCTATGTAGGTATAAGCAGAGTCTCCGCTGAAAGCGGGACTCTCTCTTAGCTTTGCATCCGGTTTGCATGCTCGATGCAACTGTGAGAAAAAGCATTGATGAACATCTGTCCGCTGACTAACAAAGCTACACAAATAGGACAGTGCCATCTTCTCTTAGCTTGTGCATTACCTAACCACAGTGACTGCGTAAGCACAGACGAAAACCTTTGGTGTAATGTATTGCTGCACTGGCAAAGACAGACATAGTGTAGCGTCATGCATTTAAGGTGCATGCTCTTTCTAAGTGGGCTGGAGATGATTTTATGTCATGCATTTTTGGTCAACATCGAGCTGCATCGAGATCCCGTTGGTGCGGTGCTGGGGAGATTTAATAGATCGTCTGCTGTACAGCAGAGGAACCCTTCACTCTATGCTGCTAATAGCAATGCAGCTCAGCGTTTTCTCTGGCATTGCATTCGAGTACAGAGCTGGTGTGTGATGTAGCACCCTGCATCTCTCCGCTCTCCCTACAACCCTCTGCCATGCTTAATAAAAGTTGCCGCTTCCTGCTCAGTGGCTCCAGAACGAAAGCTTCAGTTGCCCAGCCAGCACAAAAGCAGACCAATAGTCCGATTTAGCTACACGCTGCTTAAACCGTGAGTTATTCCTATAGCTTGTAGCAGGACAGAAGAGGGACAGCCAGAGGAGGGCAGGGCAGATCTAGCCCAGGACTTGGGCTGCATGGATAGAGGCGAAGGACGTTGGAGCCGGAGTCATCTTCATACAGAGAGGGAGGGAGAGGAAGAAAGACGTCAGAAAAAGCTCTGCTTCTGACAACACCACTGTTCAGCGACCATCATAGAAAAAGAAAACTACTTTCGCCTTGGTCTCACGAAACTGTTTTTCATGTATAGTTTGGTATACACGGGGCTGTAGAAAAGGGATACTGCATGACACTGCTTCCTGTTCG